AATCATATAACAATAACTTTAAATTTCTTATACATACATATGTATGTGATCTTATAGATACGCATACTAAGTCTTGGACGCGTTTCTCACAGTACGTCGAGTTCTCGAATCGTCACCGTGCTTTCCAATCACATTTTTGTCACACGAACCTCGCACTCTGCCAGTTTGTTGAAACGACCGTTCAATTTACGTTTCGTTCGCGATAAATCATTTTTGCCAAGTTACACCACCGCTTTACCGTACCGCATTTCGCATGCACGTCCACACGCTCGAACGACTTTCAAATGCGTTTTCCACCGTGCATTGTTCCCTTATTTTTCTCGCTCTTTCCCGCTACCATAGACAAATACGCTCACAGTCACACAAGAGCATGTGCGGGTGTGTCACGGCTCAATAATTCACAGCGTTAGCAATTTCCGTTTGCTGGAACTCTCTTTTTTTCCGTTTACGTTGACAAAAAACAACCGTGGATAATAATGTGTTAGCTGTGGTAACACGTTCGATGGATGCATTTAGGATACGTCGTTTACCGGGTATCTCCTACGAAAGAACATCGATAGAGAATGTGTTCACGCCTATTGCTTCATTTGAGTGATTCTTTGCTAAGTAAACCAAGGAGGATAGTCTTTTGCAAATTGTCTGCAATTTTTTAGCATATTTATCATCGTTTCCCGTTTCTCGCTTCTAATTTATGTATTTACAAATGACGTGTAATGGAATGACAGGCCAAATTCAAGAGATTAGGTATGTTTCAATAAAAGAATTTTGTTATATATTTCAACTAACAGGAAAGCTTTGTTATATTTTGTATTTATTTTATTGCACAAATTGCCTTTCATATCGACTAATGAAAAATTTTTGGAGGTCGACTATGGCAACATAAGCAGTTTGATTACGAATTTCCTTTCTTGAAGGAACTGGTTCCGTGCGTAATCGCATCCTGTCGCAATTAGTTCCGAGCGTGCGCATCGTACTTTCACGGTACAATTCGTTAATTACTTTTTTCGGTTTCGCCGTTAACTTCAGCAGTAGGAGAAAACAGAAGTGAAAGATTAGTAGTGGCGTGAAACATGAGCAGGAAACGGTTTCGCTTAGACTGCTGTACCGAGCTTCAACTTGAGTTTGCGAATACATGTAGTCACTAACGGTACCTCGAAGTCTTTGCAAATTACCGGAAATGTAAATTGCCTCATTTTCGTTCGCAAGCTAGATAACATTAAAATTGGAATGAATGTACGTGGATCATACGAGTGCACTATAAAAATGTTACAATGTGAAGATTATATACAAGTGCGCATCAAAGTGCGTACACCTCCCACTATCGCAAATTCTCGGCTGTAGTCTGCAGAGCAGAGGTGTATTCATGGCGCGCGCGCGCTGCACCCATCGCAGATTCTTGGGGCTCGGTCCTCGAGACACGAGTGGAAACAGGTGAAAGCCCCGAAACTCGTTCGACAAAAAAGCGTCGGTTAAGTTGTGTGTGCGAGCACACGTGCGCTCGCGTTGCGAACGCGTCGAGTGCAGCACGTCGCATTGAGGCGGCAACGGGTTATTGACGTGCTTTTGCGGAGCTGCTGTCGGGCGAGAGAGGGATATAGAGATAGAGAGCCAGTCTGGCTGGCTGGGGAACAAATGGTGTTGGTGTACACGATACAAATGTGTACATCTGTACGTGTTCGTATTCTTCACACGTACACAGTACATACATGTATTTGCGTACACAGGGTCGCGGGTAGCTCGTACGTCAGGGAGTGAGAGTAGAACGCGCGCAACGTGTGCAAGACAATTTAATGGGCAATAATCATGACACACATAAAGCGCGCATACACCTCCGCGGCCGCGCCACGACTGTCGGAACGCGGGTCTATATTTTCAGCGCGTGCGCACCATCGACTGACAACTTCCCTTCGCTTGGTTTCGCACCGAGCCCTACTCCCGTCGTCTTTTCACATCTTTCTTTCTTCGTTTCGTTTTGCTTCGTATTCCCGCTTCACCTCTTGGATGATGACGGGTCAAACAGGGACCGGGTTGCGCGCCGAAACGTCGTTTCTGGTAACTTGGAGCTTTCGGTTGCCTCTGGAATTGGCTGGAACTTAAGTTTGGAATTTACCCGATCGCAGAAGCAGAGTTCGTTTGCACTAGTAGTATCCATGTATACGTGTTTTGGGCGTTTAAAGCCAGGCGTTGATTTCTGTACCTTTTTTTATCAAAACACAAAATGGGAAACTGTAGATCGCATTTGAGGAAGTACAAATGCAATGTTGTAAAATAAAAACTGACTAATACCGATACAACTTAAAGGAAGGAGATAAGGAAATGTAAAAAGAATCAAACTTTTGTCACAATGTAATTAAAATGAAGGCTGGAAATTGTATAATTTTAGGTTGAAATCATCATTTCTAGTCATATCACGCAGTTACCAGGTGATTGACGTCTTATTATTGGTATTACAGATACAAGGTGCATCTCATATGCGCACATTACGCAATGCGAAATACAACGCTACATAAATATGTAATCAGTTGTTTGCATTAGACTGGTGCATAACTAAGGAAAATGTTATTACGCGTAAGGATAAACACGATTTCCGGAAACTAATTATTGACACCGTGACGTAATTTTGAGATGAAACAGTAATATGTGCATATGCATATGTATGTCCATGTCACTTACAAGTACACGCATCCGTGCAAACTTTTAACTCTTTTACACGTGCGCGCGTCCACGGGTAATGTTAACTTTAACTCGTTGTAACTACAGAATCGTCGCGTGACGCGCGCGCACGCTGGACTGTTCGTTAGGCATTCACGACATTGAATTGAACTTCGACGGCCCGCCGCGCTGGTTGAGGTTCCTGACTCTGATTCGAGACTCGAGCTTCTGTTTTTTTTTTGTTTTTTATCGAGCCGACTGGACGCCAGATCGATTACGAATTTGTATGAGATTTAGTTGAACGTGATAAATAAAGTAATAAATAATAGCGGTTATAATAATTCATTGGAACTTGGACTATACGAAATATGTGACATACAAACTTCAACATTATAATGGAAGTCTGTTTGTTCCATTTTAAAATTCATTTACTTAAACTCTCGTATCTCAATCTTAACTTAGATTTTAGCTACAAAAATCTTACTTGCTTCATCAAAATGAACGCGTTTCGTTCGCTCCTTCTACGTTCGAAACCGTGCATACGTTCAGAAGAGAAACTTCGCGGGATGGGATAACACAACATCGGATCGAAAGAGATACAAAAACAAAAAAGAGAAACGAAGCGCGATAAAGATGCGTGGACAGAGAGGGAGACACGACGCTATGGGTCACAATCAATAAGCGTTTGCGGGGATAGGTAGCCCGCGAGTCCTCCTCGATCCTCCCATTTCATCCCGGCGGTACGGCGGCGTAATACAGTGCTTTCCACGCTTGCGCGTTGCTCTGTCTCCATAACTTGCAATCCCAACCCCCACCAATTTTTCACAGCTCTGCACGTTTACCCCTTCCAATTTTCTTCACCTTTCCTTCACATGTTCCTACTTTCTCCCGATTCTGTTTCTCTCATTATTTGCTACATCGGTCAACCTGGTGATGACTGAATCAATTCTGAATCAATATCATTCATGCTAGCCCTCCAAGTTATGATACTGTATAATATTGATATTTGTGTTCGCACTCCTAAATCACTTCGTTACAGTAAATTGCAAACGAATGTCGGCATGGTAGTTCCTCGATATGCTTAAACGAGGTCGATTTCAATTTGTCCCGCCTTTTCTCTGAATTATGTGATACTTGTGACAATGGAGCTTTAATCACTCCTGTATAGCTTATCGGTCGATGTTGCATAACGTCGTTCGTTAACACGTTCGAACACGTTGATAGGGAAAAGGCAGAATTAATTCTACTATTGTTACAAATTATGCAAGGGCAGTCCTTACAGTAGATAATAATATTGCTATTCTATTTCTAAAAGTTTTAACAAATGAAGTTGTTCGTTCTTACGTTAGTTTAGCACTAATCGCGATAGATGAAGAAAATGGACCTTCGGTTTGCACACTATTTTGATCGACGCGGAGAGTCGACGTTAAAACGGTTTACGAGCGCCTCCTTTTAGAATTTCCGCCAGCGTTTGGCAGCGTGTCAAGTATCCCGCACGGATTATCAACATGGGAACTTTATAACGCGTGCACTTTTTGCAATGATTAATGGACATAATATCTTCTTTTATTTTGATGTTATCGAGACATGCGGTTATTAATGCGAGACATGTACGTGAACATGTACAGAGGTATTTGTAGTAAAACGAAAAATTTATACCTATCAAATTCCCTTTAGATTTCTACTCAAAAATATTGATTGAACTAGTATTTGGAAAAAGTGTATAATAGTAATTTTCATGATTGCAATGAGAAGAAATGATATGTATGCTCTGAAATTTCAATGCTAAACTGTAAATCAGGTCGAATAGCAATATGTGCAAGGAAAGTTCCATGGTAATTCATAGGCCTGGGAGCGAATCTTTACTTGGCTAATCGAAGTCAACTCATTACTCCTGCTAAGAATGGCCTTTTCATGTCGTTCTCGAAAGTGTCCTCAATTATTGCCAAGAATTATTATCTTACCACGGCCTTACCTATTTTCTTGTACGGAGAATTAACGAACCCTCGCGTGATCTTTTACAATCGAATTTACTTAACCGTATTAAACAAAATGTATTGTTATTATATTATACACCTGTGTATCGTCGAAAAGAGTATAAGTTTAAACAAAATTAACGTAAAGATGAGTCTTTGTTATAGAACGTTATATAAAATACGTACATGTATTAAAATAGTTATTTATGTTGCCTTTATGTTATTATTTACTGCTTATGTGGTATTGAACGATAATTCTGAACAATTATTACGTTATACATTACTCAAGGAGGTAGATGATTAATTGCACGTAACACTAAGACTAGATATCTAGCTGTGATATTCCTTAATAGAAGTAGCAATGTAATATGTAAATTAGCCTCGAAAGAATTATAGGTTGGTATTGCAGTGCACTGGTGTCTAAATCTCTTCTTATTTCTTTTGACCCTCTATTCGCTCATTAATCATTCATGAAGTTTCTATATTTATTGATTACTTCAGCTCATATGATTTAAGGCAAATTATACGTATAATATTATAATATTACAATCTCGGGCAACATTAAACATCGAGCTTAAAAAGTTATATACAAAGTGTGTACATATACATAATAGTTGAGTTAATAACAAATATCAGGATTAACAATATTCATTAACTTTATGAAATATAAAATTTATCTTGTTTATTCTCTTTTCTTATCCTTTTTACTTTGTTTTCGGCCGCTCTTTTTTCCCTTCGTCCCCTCCTCCTTCCGTCGCCGGAATGCGTAGTTTCCGGCAAAAGGTAGCAGCGTTCCTCCCGAGGCGCGCGATATTGATCGCGGTTTTGCGGCTGAAAAAGATTACCGCGATTTGCGATAATATTGCATCTCCCGGGGTCCCTTCGGACCGTTTACAGTGCTCTCGCGCTGCGCTGTTCTTCAGAAGGGACCCTTTTCACTCTGCCGCTTTAGCGTAAAATGTAATCGACCCTTCGAAGGCATTTTTCGTTAACAAACAAACACCTTAGATTACTCGATCAATTTCACTTTTTGTTAGTTATGATTACTTTATTATTATATAGATTTTCATGCATATTGAAATACTTGTGGCATCCATTTAAAAAACATGTAATTTGAACAGTTTCTTTCGTCATCAGATCCTTATGAGAGCACTCGACTTCTCGTATTCTGTATATTTTATTTCTTCAAATTCAGCTTTTCTATAAGTGCATAAACTCCGCAGTTTGGCTATTAGATATGATTCCTTTATACTTGATTTATTTTTATTTACATATGAGGTAAATTGAAATATAGTTACACGTATAATTTATTAATGAATATCGTGTTGAAAGTTGTACATTATTTAGGAATTTGCTATGCGTCAGCATGAGCACAATTTGTTGATTAACATGGCGCGCACGTTTTTCGCACGATCGGAGGATATTTTCGTTGCCCCGTAGAAATCTGACCCTGACCGAATACAACCTACTTACACTCGTGATTTGTCGATCACACCAGTTGCATCGGACGTCGTCGGTCAGTTTAGCGTGTACTACATTTTCCGGTCTCCTCTACTGCCTAAATAGACATTAGCAAACCGACGTTTTGAAAAGCGCAAAATTGCGTAATTATAAGTAGCCTATAGATTTTTACCTAAAACAAAACTTGTATCAATTTAAAAAATGAAATATAAGCACAAATTTCTTTTATCGTTTAAACATTATCATATATATGTATTTTACTACTGATGCTTTATTCATACTACCTTTCTTATTAATGCAGAACCAATCTTGAATATTTTCTATTGTAATATTGAAGCATTTAATAAATTATTGAAAAGTTTCTGATAGTAATGGATAGCAAAATGATAATGTCTAATGGACAAAGGCAGAGACGTTGACACGAATAGAATACACGACTGGCTAAACCACATTTAGTGCAAAATCGAGTTGAAATTACAAAGCTGTGGGGAATTAAATATCTAACTCTAACTTTCAGCTGTTTCATTTACCGTTTCCAACTGAACTCTATTGGTGAGCGTCTACCCTCTGCTGAACTTTCGTTTTCGCTGCATTATTAAACTGTCGCGTGTAGAGCACGCCTTTATCCCACTTAAAGAACAGTGAATGTAGGATAAGTATAACGACAGATGATTTGTCATTTTTTATGCTTCGCCTATGTTGAAGTTTTAGTTTATTAACCCTTAATTGCTTGTCATTGTATTCAAAAATTAAAACGTCTTGATGCATTGTGCATTGTATAGAATAATCAATATTCGTGAGTTAAAAAGCGGATAGGTGATGCTAATCGATCATTTATCGTTAATTGCTTCGACAAGAGAAGATCTTGATTCTACGAGATAATCGAGATACTGCGAATTATATTCGTTTTTTCAGCGTCTCCGATCATTATCTTAATCTAGGTAAACTTTCACTGACACGTCTGATATCTAATTTATTTATTGTTTCTGTTATATTTGTTCTTGATTTTATGAAACGTATAAACACATGTTTACTGTATTTAACAAGGGAAGCAATATTTATCTTCGGAAATTGTTATAAATAGACTACGGATTTCTATGCCAAATAAGATATCTATCTGACATTAATTTAAAAAATGTGATTTAGATTTTCATTGATTATTTAATCATTATGATACGTGCGCAGCTTTTGACATAAATATTTTTATACATCACATATATTATTAATATTTCCTATAATTTAATTTTTTACGAATTCATAAAATCTGCATTCTCTAAGGAATATTATAATAAATAGTAATATGATATTAATGTATTAATTATTGTACAAATTGTATTTTGCAGAATCTCTTCGCGATTATAACGGCCTTTCGTCAGACCTCTACAAACCATCCAACTACGATAAGCTCGCCCTCTCGCTACTGTCTCCTCTTCCTAATGAGCAAGACTTCGCCATCAACGTTTGCACGTTGCTGTCGAACGAGGGGAAGCACATCCTGCGTCTCGACAAGTATCCTCGCCTGGTGAACATTTTATTGGCGCACGCGGGTGTATTCGATTCACCTGGTACGCGACAGCTCTTCATCGAGGTCTACTCACGGGTCAGGAATTACTCGATCAACTCGTTCTGGTCGGACGTGCTCGACTCGCAGGACGTGATCGACCTGACCAACGAAAGGACGTTCATGAAAAAGCCGAACCCAAGCCCCCAGACGTTCTCCAGACGAAAAATCTTGGAGAGGGAAAAGCAGAGCAAGAACGTTGCGTCGACGGAGAGCGATGACGCCTCCGCATCGATGGACGTCGACGTGGTAACGACCCTTTGTCTTATAGTAACAACCATTTACGATTCTCGACAAAAAATTGTTTGTAATATATAACATATAATCAAGTGTTCATCTTTTATGTGCACTTAATTAATATACATATTATGTTGCATTGATCAAGAGCTTTCTGTCAGGGATGATACTTTCAAACGAAACATTATATTCGGCATGTTCTACATTAATTCAGTGAACTTCATTAAATACGGAATTCATATAAAACATTTAATAGAAGAGAGCAATAATCAATTATTTTATGTGTAATTTTATTGATTCGCCCTATACATGTACAACGTTTGTTTTATGACATAAAATTTGTTTAATTGCAGGTGCTACCTGAGTGTTCGAGGTTGGATCCGATCTGTTCGCACCAGGATGAGAGTCTAAAGGATCAGAATCAAAATTCAATAAAATTCGAGGAAGAGGATAGAGATTTGTTTTGTGTCGGACGAACGCTCGGAACGCAAGACCCTTACGGGCAACGGGTACTACAGATAGCGTCTATTCTACGGAATTTAAGTTTCACCCCGGAGAACGCCGCTATATTGGGAAGGAATCGGTGTTTCCTGAGATTCGTATTGCTTTGCGTGAGGGCGAGGTGGAGCAACCTGCATCAGCTGGGTTTCGACACGCTAGGGAACATAGCGAACGAAATAGTCCTGAAGGAGGCTGGCGAGAGGATAACGGACGTTGTGTTGTCGTGTGTCGCGAAGGGAATTGAATCGCAAGACAGGTTTATCGTTATATCCTGTTTGGAGGTGCTTAACAAACTTAGCCAGCAGGACAGCAATGAAGAGATAGTTACATTTGGATTAGAAGACAATGTATATGAACTTATATGCAGGTGAATTTAGATTTCGTGAACTTACTGAGAATTTGCTAGTACTATTGCAAGTACAATAACGAGATGTATTTATTCGCAGGTTTTTAGCTCTTAATGACATAGCCCTTTTAGTGTATACATTGGAATGTTTGTACGCGTTGACGTCGTTGGGTGAAAGGCCATGTACTAGCGTCGCGCGGGTACGCGGAGCTATCGACACATTAGTCGCCCTCGTCACCGTGGAAGCGCAGAGTTACGGCCCGAAAGCCTGTATTCTGATGAGAGTGATTGAAACTGTGTCGACTGTTACGTTACCATCAACTACCACTCCAAATACTCCTGCTGTTGCTACCGCTCCGGCCGCGTCGGTTTCCTCCTCCGTACCAACTACTCCGGCTACCGTTACCGCGACGCCAGCTCCGGTCAGTCCGGCGCCATCGCGGCCAACCACTCCAGCAGCGACTGTAACGAAATCTACAACGCACAGTACGTTATATAGAGAAGTGATTTATCACTAGGCTGCCGATTTTTATGTAAAATAAAACTTTTGTGATATCTAATCTAGATTGAGATTTCTGCACATTTGCACATGTGATGTACATCCTTTATGTTTACTGCTCGTTCATTCTTTCTGTAAATGCATAGAATCTGCACTCTATTTATCACTTGAAGATAGGAATTGAACGATTAACATTGTTTTCTATTTCTTGCTAATGTTTAGAAGCAGTGGAGACAAACAACTCGTTACAGCAGCAACACGCGCATCAACAAATTATACAGGAAAACGAGCAATTCGCTTTAAGTTGGTTGAGGGCTACGTTTGAACCTGTGTCTGGTGTGCGTATAGAGCAAGAAGAACTGTATAAGAAGTATCTTGGTTGCTGTACAAAAATTGGCAGAAGAGGCGTAATCGCACCCCTTCATTTTCCAAGATGTGTTAGGTAAATATAATGATTCGGCAAAAATACGTTGAATTAAAATTTCTTTTAGTCTGCGTTGAGACAATAGGAATGTGCTGATGACATTTTTTTGGCGTAGATCTGTATTTGGCGGAAGCGTCGGGCCGAATCCGTTGAAAGGTGAAACAACTGGTACTCAGTATTACGAAGGAATCCGAGTACGGGCCACACCACCCCAAGTAACTTATCCGAGCCAAACTGCGGTTGGGACTAACACAGCTCCAATTCCAGCAGTGAACACAACGCCAGTAAAGGTGCTTCCCGTACAACAGCGTACAATCAAGAGTATAAGTCCCGCTCCCGATAGCACGGCCCTAGACAATCCTGCATCTGGGCTTTCGAGAATCCCAACCCCGGCCTCGCCCATCCTGAAAGCCCAATTGTCCGCCCCACCGAAGCCACCATCCGTCACTTCCGTGATCACCGTGACACAATCCCAAAATCCAGTCACCAAGGTTGATTCTAAAAGTCAGGTGGGTCCAAGTGTCCTAAAGCTTACTCTACCGATCTCTCTTCTACCATTTACGGCCTTGGTTATTACTTTTTTTTTCTGGTTACGGTTTCATTACGTTACACATAAAATGGGCTTTCCCTTAACAAAATTACATTTCATATTTTTGCATGCACCGAGATCCTGTTTATCCCATCACTATACGTGCATGCCTACATAAATAGGTATTCGAATAGTAATAGTAAGTCCTGATTATCCTGATAATGAGAAGTTATTCTCCTCTCTATACGATTTTTCTGAAAATATTGCAAGCTTCCAGTTCTTTAAGTAATTTAATTTTCATACTTTATAAATATTCGTATTAGTAAGCGCTTAAAAACGTTTAATATCTGATTCTTCTTTTGTTGTGGGTAAGTGGGACTTGGCTATAAGCTATGGTGTAAATATGTAACGCGTTAATGTAAGTGTAAATAATTGATGCAAACATCATTTGAACTATTTATCCTAAACTTTCATCGATAGATATGGTGTTTGAAAAATTGTATTCCTGTATGATCAATGTAGATCTCTCATTTTTTTTAGTAAAAGTCTTTTGATTCTCGATCGACATACATTTCATGCAGGTATAATTTGTCATTGCATTAGATGATTTATAACAAGCATATATTTATGCTTGGAATTAATTTCGTTTGTTGTTTTCGATTCATTACCATGCTTAACAAGATGTTATGAGGAAGTATTCAAACCATAAATTACATAAACTGTAAAATATTATTTAATACTATTCACAAAATTATTCACATTTGGTAAAATTCATTGCAGATCTTACAAACTATTCATTACATTTAATCGAATATTTGCATACGTGAGGTATTTAACACTGAAATTATGCTAAGAAATAAGCGAATAAGAATATTAAATTATTTTCCAATTACTATAAAACTTGTTTAAAGTATTTTATTTTTAGTCGTTCCTCTTTAATTACAAACGTTAAATATAAAAATGTATCGATGATTTATGACAAATATTGTATGCAATGTTAATCACGTTGTTCACGTATTGTAGAACAAAATGAACTGAATATTATTACAAATGATAAATTTGCATTTTTAACAACTACTGAAAGTGAACAGTAGCAATCTTGATGCCACGAGTCATCGATACAACGTGTCGTTTGTAACATCTCGTCTATAATGAAATAATTGTCGATTAGGTGTCAGTATCGCATCCTCATCTAAGCCAAGCGTTGCTCTCGATCGGTTCCCAAACGCAGACACAACCACAACCGCAACAGCCGCAACTGGTGCAACAGTGTCAAGCTATCCAGGTAGTCACTAAGGAAGATAATCGAAGCGGTACCACATCCAGTTCCATAATTAAAAGCCTACTGGCTACTAAGGTAACGGTCAGCAGCGACTGCATGCCCAGTACTGCTGCCACGTGTGTGTCTACCCTTACTGCCTGTGTAACAAACACTACTGCTAGCATCGCATCCAGCATCAGTGCCAACCAGCTAATAACCAGCAACCAGGTATCATTGTTGTACATTAACAACAAAAAACTGTAGCATTTTATTGTCTCTATACGTGGGATGTTATCCAGATGTTTTTAAGAAAGATACTTAAAAAATAGGGAGAGTTAAGAGTATTTATAGAACAGATATTTTCATGAAGTATTTATAATGTTAAGTAACACACATGTTAGTTAATAGTTTAAGATAGGGTGTCACATGATAATATTTAATAGAAAAAGTATAAGAAACGTTTTTCAGAATAAATTCATTGCCTCTAAATAAAAAATTTCGAGCATGTTTATAGGATAAAATCTATTTGAGATATATTTGTATAAGATAGAGATACAGTTTCGAATAATTTGTATTTGTAGAGGCAGTATTTTACAAAATAATTCGTACTTAGATTCACATTTTTCGAACGTGTGATGGTTTTAGAATTCAAAATGTTGTTGAGTGAAAATCTTCAAATAATACTTAACATATTGATTATTTTTTTTTTTTTTTTTTTAGAGTCAGTAAAAATAATAGTAATTTATCTAATATATTGTACTAACAAAAGCATGGTTTTCGAGAGTGAAATTATTTTTCATCTAATGATAATCATATAGAAAAGTACAAAAGACAGTTTCAGTTTTTAAGGAAAAGTAAACAACATTTTGGGAATTTCAAATTGAATTGTGTATACAGGTCGCGCAACGTCAACAGCAGCAGAGGCTACTACAGCAACAGTTGACTAACGTAACGCAACCTCCTACAACCACGACTAGTTCCACAACAATACTCCCAAAGACTCCAATCAACTCGAAGCAAAAGCCAGCTATCACACCCATTCCTGCCAAAAAGATTCAGAGGCTCAACGGAGCCAAGTTTATTATGACTAATAATTGTGACAAGGTATTAAACAATTAATTTTCAAATTAAACCTTCCGCATCTGGAATATTATAAACTTTTATATACAAAAATTATACTTAACACGTATAAAATTCAACACTGTTAAGAGATTTCGTATATTTTAAAGTTGATTACGCCAGATTGCTAGATCTCTTTCACTCTTATTTTGCAGACTGAAGTAAGCGACAGCGAGTGTGTTAATCAAAACACAACGTCGACGACCGCTTCCACCGTGATTTTGAATTCCACTGATAATCATACATCGGCTATTAAAGTGTGTCGGCCGCTGGGTACGACAACAGTATTGACAGCGAATAAAATGACTCAACGATCAACTTGCACATCGATCGCCGAGGATTCGGATTCAACCAACAATTCCCTGGCATCCAGCAGCGGTATCGGTGGTAGTCGAGATTGTTCCGGCGTCGGAGTGGAAGAGGATAACTCCTTGACGAGTTTTGAGGGGATTCTGTTGAACGGTGCACCAAGCAACATGGACATCGACGTGCAGGACGATGGATCTTCGAAAGACTCGTCCAGTGTGACGTCCAAAGAGAAGCCCCTCCAGAGCATGATGCTCGCTGATCTTTTGGAAAGGAAAGTAGACAAAGAGCCAATATTAAATGGCGTCTTGGGAAAGAACTCGATAAACGAGAAGGGAATGGATCTGGTGGAAAATCACATCAAGAAGGTATTGAAAGAATCTCCTACCGATATTAAGATCAAGCTCGAAGTAGAAGAAGACATACAAACGGAAGTGTCCGAAGATACGTTGATCGAAGCACCTAGGGGGATAAAACGAACTGCCAGCGAATCGGACGAAGTGGACACGAAGAAAGTGAAGTATTCAAACGGCACTATGTCGCCGGATCCTGTTGTCGACTCGACCACCGCCGAATCTACAGTCTCGAGTATAAAATCTGAAGAACCGGACGATGACAAAGACAGTGAGAAGGCTACGGTGTCTTCTACTGCTGCGAATCTTTATGCTGCATTAGCCGCCGATTGTATAGAGGACGAGACGGATCTTGACGAGAGCGTGACTGTAAAAGAGGAATCTGCCCCCACAACGAAAGAGGAACCGCAGGAATTCATCAACCAGGTCAATCAGCAACCGTCGCAACAACCTCAGCCACAAGTACCACAGCAGCAACCTCAAGTTCAACAACCAATCTCGCAGCCTCAGCCGCAGCCACAGCCGCAGCCACAGCCGCAACCACAATCACAACCACAACCACAACCACAACCACAACCACAACCACAGCTGCAGTTACAACAACATCAGGCGCAACCGCAGCAGCCTCAACAGCAACTGATCGTCGCGGCACCGAGGCAGATAGTAGTGCAGCAGACGATTCAACCAAACAATCAAGTTATCATACCGGCCGGTGCGGTAAAGGCCAGGCAGGCGCAGTCTCAACCACAAGTTTTACTCCAACAGGGAGCGGGTGGTCAGTTGCAATATGTCGTGTCCGGTGGCGTTCCCGGTCAGAATTATGTTCTGGCCCAGCCGCAGACACTAACCTGCCAGGGTCAAGCGCAGACAGTTTTGGTAGCTCAAACGACGCAGCAACAAGGAACTGGTGCGAAGACTATAATCATCTTGCAGCCACAGACTGCCACGCAGCCGAGCCAGCAGAAGATGGTAGCGGTCACGCCTCAGGGACAGCAAGTTGTCGTGACACAGGTGTCGCGCCCGATTTTGCAGAGTCCTGCACTCGGAAACATACCTCCACCACTGGTCCCAACCTCGGGTACAATTCCTCAGACTTCCATTATAGTGAACAGTTCCGTAACGCAAACGAATCCGAACACTGTCACTGTTACGATTCCGGCGATGGCGCAGCAGACACCGGTTTCGACAAGCGTACCCTCGAGGGTGGTAACGCCTACCCCGGCGTCCACTCCGCCACCCACGAGACCCACCACGCCGCATCAAGCGGCCGCTACTCACGGTCTCCCAAAACAACCTGTCAAAGTCATAAAGACTGTCAGTTCCTCGACGTCCACAGAGCCAGAATCGAAACCGTCTACCAGTCAGAATCAGCTGGAGAAGACGATCACCATAAAGATCGATCCTAATGCTTACCTTTGCGAGTGGCGGGGTTGTTTGAGGTAATTACCTGCATTGTAAGATTATTCTTCGGATTATAAGAAAATGATTTCAATATATCATATAAATATATTCTATTTGTATTTCCACAGGCAATTTAAAACACCACATGAAGTTTACCTTCATGTGTGCGAGGCGCATTGTCCTACTGGTGAGGAGGAAATACTATGCCTTTGGGCGAGCTGCGATGCCTTGAAGAGGCGTAGATTTTCGCTAATGACACACCTGTATGATAGGCATTGTAACGCGGATGTGAGTATAATTTTTAAAATGGTCACACTGTTTCTTACTCGCATAGTGTAATTAACAATGTTAATCGAAAACTTTTACAGACGATGTCGATAAGGAGAAAACAGCTAACGGTGACAGGTAAAACCGAGGTCTCCACGTCGACGCCGCCGACTCCTCACCACCCTGGATACGCACCTAACGCAGCATTCCATGCGATTAAGCGACACGCCTTGGAATTCGTAAATCCAAAGGAGTTAATGGTTAGTAATAATTCTAATTATGTGAGGTAATCATAAGTACGATATTAACTTCCATACGCAGAAAGAAGACACTTCTCTGTTGTGGCGGTAATCGATTATGCGAATCTAAAGTACTATATAGCAGCAGAATTAACACTCCTACAATCGATTTTTGAATAATATATCCAAATTTCTTACTCTCTTGCGAAAACCAAACAAATACTAAATGTTCTCTCCTTGCAAAGAAATCTTAATACTTCCATGCTTGTCAGAGTTCTGTTAATATAATAAAAAATTTCTTCTCTTGGCAAAGCAGCAAAGGCCGACCAAGCCCGCTGCAGCCACCACAAGCTCTTCTTCTCCCAGACCTGGGCAAAATCCTCCACCAGAGCAGGTAAAAAAACGTGTTCAATGATTGAAACAAAAGCAAAAACAAAAAGAATTTCACGATTCACAGCCACAGCCCTCGTGCGCTGTTTCCTGCCGCCTAAATTTTTTTTTGCTTCCATCTTCTTTCGTTTTTTCGCAAAACATGCGCCGTGTTTTTTTATATTTCATTATCTGCAAATATGTATGTTTTTTTACTAGCATGGATTTCATTGACGGCCTCATTTTCGTAGCTAGCGTCGTTGTATATTGTATATATGTATGTATGTAGTACGTATGTATTTTACGCAGTTGAAGTGTACTCGTGACGACCAATGGTGTTGGTACAATATTTACCTTTAAGTATTGTATTAGATGTGCAAGTTAATGATATTGAATGATGTAGCTCCATTCAATCTGTTTCTGCGATTATGTTCAGATCAAATAAAGTCCTGGTTAACTTACACATCTAATGAAATATCTAGAGCTGTCTATATAATTTGATATAAAAAAAAGATTGTGTTTGTTGGTACGAGTTTTAAACTTATAATTGTTAACGATTCTAGAATTTTGTTGCAATGATTTTCTTGGGTTTCAAAATCTACAAGGTTTAAACAAATTTAAGTATATTCCATTTGTTTACATATAATATACATAGATTACATTTGTTTACAATATAATATACATAGCATGATGAAATTAATTTATAGTGTTATAAATTTTGTATTATCTTTACTGAGGATATGTATATATTTAAATATTCAAGTTGATGCGATAAGTAATTTCAATGTTTGTTGCATTATAGCGTAAAAGAGTGTAACATCAGTCTGATATTTATCATGAAAATTTGTAAATCTATTCACACGTTGTGCCATTTCAGTGTGTTCTCATTTTGTTTTACCATAATCGTACTTTACTAATGTATTCAAAGCTATCGCACTAATGCAAGTCGATCATCAAATAATTTTTACAGTTTTCGACCTATTTGTTGTTGTTTTTAGTGTTACTTGAAACGCGTGACTAGATGTTGTCTCTTTTATTTGAATACGAAGTTCGAAAAAATTGTACAAAGTTATAATAATTTACGGTTTCTTTTTAACAGGACGACAACGAAGGTCCAGTGACCAAAAGTATTCGCTTGACAGCAGCTCTCATTCTTAGAAACCTAGTCATATATTCGACACATGGCAGACGGTAATGTTGCTATTCAAGATTTTTCTAATTATATGATAAAACGCAAAGATTTGAAGGTAATATTTGTTTGTTAATAACGTTGCAGGCATCTTAGAGCGTACGAACCACATTTGGCAGGCGTGGCATTGAGTAACGTCGAATCATCGAGAACGATCGCACAAGTTCTTTACGATATGAACGATCAAAGTAGCAGTAACCATAGGTGACCTCTTGAACCAGGCCTCTAAAAAGAAAAGAAAGGAAAAAAAGCTCATTCGCAATTGTTGCGAGCATCGATTAGTTCGTCTTTATTTTGAACTTTAGTGTAAAAGTGAAGGAAACGCAAAAGAGTTACAAAACGATTATAAAGAATGGTATGTTCGGTTTTGTTCGAAGGAGTAAGAGATGTGAGATTGTGATTTACGACGGAGAAAAGAAAGATAAAGACGCGAAATGCAGAGGAAAAAGAAGAATTAAGTGAATTAAGAAGAAAAAGAAGAGGATGCACTAGAAGAAAAAAGCATACGGCAATGTTCCATAATTATTAAAGAGGCCTATAAACTTACTAGGCAACGTCGATTTGCCGAAATTTAAACTATAACGACGTACTGTAAACTAGTTAAACGATAAAACGAAAGACAGTAGTTTGAAGTGATTGCAGAGAGATCAGTGATAAATGATAAATGATGATTAAATGAAACAAAAAAGCAAACAAAAAAGCGAAATATTTCAAATTTAATATTAATATTTATTTTCTCAACAAGAAGCGGAAGAAATGTTTTTAGTAACCGTGTACAAAAATAAACAAACGA